ATAAATGCTACTACTTAAGGTGTCTACCTTAATCAGAAAATTCTTCTCCTTCTTTTGGTGGTTCTGGGGATTGAACTCAGGGCCTTGCATGTGCTAAGCATGCATTCTACCACTGAGCTACAGTCCCAGACTAGAAAATTCTAATACTTCAAGATAAATGCAAATGTCAACTCATGCAAAAGAATGACTTACTTAGTAACTATGAAGTTCTCATATGGGATCCATATTGAGAATAAAGTTGTCCATCCTTGGTGGTGGCTTTTGGTCAGTGTAATGTGATTTAGTGTATTTCTATATGTACAAGCACGGGATAAATTATTTAGAAAGCATTTTTCCATCAGGAGATATTTCAGTGGCTTGAAAATGTGAGTCCAAGTTAACTGTTTGGCCTTTGGAGATGAATCATTCCATTTGTTTGGCCCACTGGTGGAGTATTTAGATTAATGACTAAGTTTGTATTTAACCTGACAAAAACCAAAGAGCCAGATCAGACAGATGCACATAGTCTTCCTGAAACCCTGACAGAGGACAGAGTATGGGAAGGAGCACCCGAGTCATTAGTTTGTGATGAATGTTTGCAGAAAGTAATATTTCTGCCATTTTATGGATGGAGCAACTGAGGCAAAAGAGGTTAAGTGCCTTGCCCTAGATCACAAAGCTGTTTGGTAGATCCAGCAAAATCCAGCACTCATGCAGGCCCTGATTTTGCACTTGATTTTAAACATTTGCAAATGTTGCAAGTTACAGTTCTTGTATGTGCCCACAGGTAGGTTATAAACTAGATGCTGACAATCTGCCTAGGGGAAGGAAGCTACCAAGGTTTGCTGTGGAGAACAGCAAATAGGAGCTCAGGCTTCCTGTCCCATGAGCATGACCCTCCTGGACCGGCTGGCTCTTTGCTGATCCCCAGTGGCTTCTGTCCATGAGGATTCAATCAGCCTCAGGGGCCTGCTGGCCAGGGTGGGGGGCAGGAGGACTGTGACTCTGGGAGAGCTGCAAGTATTCAAGGTCTTGAACTTTATCAGGTTTGAATGTGTGATTGTGAAAGTAAAGAGCAGAGAAATGACAGCACTCCGTAAATCAAACGTAGAGAAGATCAAGACTGTCAAAGAGAGAAAAACAGGCTCTGTGCACAAACCCGGCTGGAAATCTACAGGGAGGAGAAGACTTTTATGTTCCCTCCAGATTTTGCTTTCTGGAAAACAAATCTCTTTCTCTGTCGTTTTATCTAGAGAAACAGTATTCTTTGTTATGTTTCACAGATTTCTCTTTTAAAGTAGTCATTGTTGAGGTTTAGATCTTGTTTTAGAAGACAACGTAGGAGGAGGAAGAAACCAGAAAGAAAAATAAGATGGAAAATATCTGAAGTGGTCTAGATTTTTCCTTATCAATAATGTGTTCTGGTTCAGAGGGTGTAGCTTCGTGGTAGAACATTTGCCTAGTATGGAAAAGGCCCTGGGTTCAATCACCAGCACCAAACAATAAATTAAATAAATAAGTTAGGATCAGATGAATTTACTTAGTTCTTTTTCCCCTCTAATGTCAAATGCTAGTCATCAAGGCTGCCCTCCTTAATGACTTTCAGTTAATTCCCTCCTATCTACTCCCAGTGAAGGTACTGCAGAGGGCTGGGATTCTTTGGTTGGAGCAAGAAGAAGCCTCAAGATTACTATCTTTGTCCCTGTGGAAGACACTGGAGTCTGCTGCTGGCATTTGCCAGAGTAACAGCAAGGAATGTTTCCTTGTTTCCTCTTCAAAGGAAGCAAAAACAAGTAAAGGACTTATGCCCCCACCCCTGTGCTTTCCTACCAGAACGTAATAAATGAAACCTTCACTACTGCTACTCAGAGGAGGCTTAAAGTCTCGTGGATGGTGGGTCCCCAAATTAAATAGGCACTCAAAGAAGTTCTTTCCCAGGAACTAATTTAACTCGGGGAATAGTTAGGTTATACATGACATTGCATTGGGCATAGCATGCAAGTCTATTAGTCATAACAGATCCCACTAATACAGTGTTTACTATGTGCCAGGTACTGTGAGCACCTTCCATTGAAGACATTTTTTTTTTTTAAAATCTTGTCCAAAATCCTGTGAAGGAGGTACTTAATTTATCCCCATTTTACAGAGGAGGAAACTGTGGTACAAAGAAGTTAGGCAACTTGAATTGATCACATAGCAAGTGGGTTACCAGACCCAGGTAGACTGGCCCAGAGTCCTGTGCTGATCCAGTGGCACCTAGAAATTTCATCAATACATGAGCCAGAGTGAATGCCATCTTTTCAAAACCACCATTAAGCCTAGGGAAAAAAATCAGTACTCGAGTGCTTTTCTAGCCTTCCATCTTGGAAGCTGTCTGTGGAACTTTGCCTAATAGGCTTTATAGAGGTGCCAACCTTCTAGACTGTAAACACTTCAAAACTAGGACCTACCTCTTATTTTTTTTCTTCATGCAGTGCATACTCAGTGAATGTCAGGCAAGTGGCAGGAAGCTGGGGGACTTTATAATGGTAGACAAGTCTTCCGTCCTAATTCTCTGCATATTTGCAACATAGCTGAAAAGAGAGGTCATATTTCTGAGTGTCCAATGTAGCAACTTTTAAAAATTTCTTGGGTACTTTTTCCTTTTAAGATCAACTCAAAGAGGGGTATTTGCAATGTAACAAATCTCCAAAAGCTCACTTCCTCCACTTTTCTGCTTCGATTTAGCAATTACTGCTGCTTCTTTGAAAACAAAAATGAAAACAAAAACACTACCAAATGGCAAGGAAGATCTCTGAGCCAAGAGCTCTGGGGCAGTGGTAGCTGGACCCTGACCTTAGACTTGGCATGACTGTAGCAAATTCCAAGAAGGGCCCAGTTCCTACCTGCCTAGGGTGTTGGGAATTTCTGTGTTTCTTTCACCTTCTTAGGAATAGAAATGTTACTTTTTCTTCTGATGCCCTGATTGTTACCATCCCTAGAAGCTGTATTAGGGATACAGATTAGATAAAGGGGATGATTGTGGAGTTCATTTTATTTGGAGAGAAGACGGGGGGCATCTTTAACTTTCTGTCTCAGCATGAGGTGACAGACATCCTGGATTGCCTTTTGGAATTAAGAGTCCTATCTCCAACATTTTCCAGAGAACAGTTTGGGAGAGCAGAGGAATGGGAAGGAGTCACAGGCAGGGACCCCAAGGGGTCTCAGCTGCACCTCCATGCTCCCCTAACTTCTCAGTCTGTCCTATTTCAAGGAGGCAGAAAAGGCTTCTGCTTTTTGTGACCTGGAGTATGGGGGAATTCTCCATCTACAGAAAGGGAGGAGAAAAATATCAAAAATACTGGAATCTGACTCCCCAAGCCCACTTTCAGAGTCCTGAATCAGGAAACTTAACTGGATATTCCCTTCCTTTGATGAGGAAAGCCATTGCTCCGGGAGCAGGGCCTCCACCCAGCTGGCAGCCCCAGGCTTCATGTAGCCATGCCAGTGGTAATTAATAATGATAATAAATACCACACTTCATAACCAAACCCAACCTGAGCATGACTGAATGATTGGACCTCTGCCTCCCACCTGCACGCTGTTAGCCTGCGAGTCCACACCCTTAGTTAGTCTCAGTCGAATCCAACTGCCCAGTTCCACCCACAAGGTCCTGCGTGGGGTTCAAAGGACAATCTGTTCACCACCACTACCCTGAGATGCGGGCCACCATAGTGCTCCTACACAGAACCCTAGGGAGTGGGATGGGGACTTAGGGGGTGCCCTGGCTTTGTCTTTACTTAATTTTGGAACATAATCAAAATAGGACAGTAATTTAGGGCCGGATAACCTCGCTTTAGTTTTTCAGCCAAATGCAGGAGGGGAGGACGTTTGTATCAACACCCCCAGCTCGGACCTGGATCCGCAGCTCCCAGGGGACCCCAATGTCCGTCCCGCCCCCCAAGTCCTGGCATTCCTGATCGAGGTGGCCCGGGCGTCTCCACTCCCCCTCCTCCAGCGGCCACCAGTCCCCCTGGGCCTACCCGAGCTCTGCGGTCGCCGAAGTCGGGATCGCAGGGTCTCTGGACTCAAGCAGGCCGCGGGGAGGGAGGCCGGCGCCGGTGTGGAATTTCTTTATCGGGCTTTGAGAGCTGCAAGCTTCTCCTTGGCTTCTTTAAGCGATCACAGAAAGACACCTTTCGATCTTTTGTCAGACATCTTGGCCCTTAATAGCTAAATTTATTTGGTTTAAAGCGGCCACGGGAGAAGCAGGGAGGGAAGATCTTTCGTCGGTCATTGGGTGGCCTAGATAACAAGCTTTAAGGGAGAGGGGAAGAAGAAAGTAAAAAGGTTAATGGATGCGGGGTGGGCGAGCGGCGCCCAGCGTGGGGCTTTTATAGCGACCCTCCCCCGGTCGCCCCCTTATCGCGGCCCTAACTTACCCGCGGCGTATGAAGTACATTAAGTCACGTAAACAGCGCGCGGAGAGGAATGCCACCGCGGTGACCTTTCGTGCGCCGCTGCAGTGAGCCCACCTCCG